ATCATCCCGACCCGGATTGGGTGGGGGGGAAGATTTGGGGGTTTAAAACCCCCCCTTCATAAAAGGGGCCAAGTTTGGAAAACATTGGTTTAGAAAACAGATGGAGCAAGCCACAGAGATGACTTTGGAGAAACTACACAGAGATAGAGACAGAAACAAAAGCCGGTGTTACAAAACAGAGGAAGCGTGAGAAAGAAACTCAGGCTGGCTCCCCGCTAATTTACTGAGCTATAAAGGGAGGGGAGGGAAAACACAGTCAGGCTTTCAAGACTGGTATCAGCCCTTCAAGGTAGGCCAGGTCAGGAAACGCCACTCCACAAGTTTGACTGGAACTGGACTTTATTGATACAAGAATCTTGACCTTCCCATAGAGATTGCGGGAATGTGGGCAAAGAAATACGTTACAGTTCATTTTTGCAAGCCGCTGTGCTAATTCTCTCCGCTTTTCTCTTGTGTCCAGGTCTGAGGAGCAGCAGTTCAAGGTCTGTGGAAGTTAGATATCGTTCCCTGAGCTTGATGCAATGGGGGTGGAGGTGGGGGGGCGGCTTCTGCAATCGGGGCTGGAGGGATCCCATGTACCAGTGCCCGGGCACAGAAACGCACTCGCATGCATGCAAACACACCCACGGAGCGCCCCTGGGTTTCTCATTCTCGGCCAATGCCAAACGAGCTGTTGGCGATGGAGAAATCCGGCCGCCGTGTTCTGCAGAGCAGAGGCAAACCTTCTCCGGGCACATCCACGCTGGGGACTTCAATCTTTGGGTGCTGCAGCTGATGTTCGGTCGAAGAATCAAAGTCCTGGGCTCAGCCCGGTCCGACTTTCTACCCGAGCTCTGCCACCTTGGATGCTGGCAACCCCTTTGCTGGCTGCAGGAGGCATTTTCCCTCCCTTCCAGCCAAACCAGGTGAGATGCCAAAGGCCCAGATCTCTTTCTCGGGCTGGTTTTGGGTTTTTAACCCATGCTGGGGGCTTCCGAATCTGATTGCGACCGTGGAGCTTGGGGGAAGACGGAATGGAGCCTTCTCTTCCACGCTGCCACTGTCTCCGTCTCTGCCCCACTCCACTGCCAATGCTGTCATTTCCCTTCCCTTTGGGGTTAATGGCAACAGTGTGGAGGACTTCCATCCAGAAGACGGTGTACGGGGGGGGGGGGGG